ATTGGCCCAGATTACAGATGTCCCGGCTGTGCTGCTTATTCGGCGCCTGATGATAGTATTGCAGGAACTGTGGCGTGTAGACAACACATAGAGGTGTGACTGTGAGTGACACTTAATGAGATCTGGAGAACGACACACATAAATCACCAGCAGCGCGATGACAACGCTCCTCTGCGGCTGCCCTTAGTTACTGCGAGGTTGCTAACAGTGACACGCATAGCGCTCATTTCTTAAGGTGCCTCCCTGCAGCGTTAAAGGATCACACACACATACGCACACACACACACAAAATGATAACACCTGAAATGGTGATCTGATCCGAGGGAGGAGTGCAATTATAGGCGTCGCAACCTCAGTTGTAAATCTAGCTGCATTCCTGTGGAGACATTTAATTAGCCCATTCAACCCCACTCCACACACACACACTTATAACATGCATACATAGGCTACACAAAGTAACACACTGTACCCACACCTGAGGGATAAACCTGTATTTCTTGTGCCAGATGAAAGTACCATGTGGTTTAGACTGATCTGGAAAAAAAAAGCAGTTCTCTACTTTCTACCTCAGGGTTCAGGACATTTCTGTCTTGGACTGTTACATGTCTTCATAAAACATTAAGGGGTGATGTAAATTAGAGGTGGACCTTTGAACACACACACAAACACACGACGCATAAATAGACCGGGTGTGGTAGGTTTTTAGTGAAAAGAACAGAGTTAATACGTGGTCGCTAAAGATGCTGATCTGTTGCTTCCCTCTTCTGGAGGCAATCAGCCATTACAGATCTAACCGCAATCAGAAGGTTCACATTCATCACTCATGTGCCCACAGTGATGTTTCTACTCATTCTAGATAATTAGGCCTGAGTGAAAGAAATACATTTGCTTGTACTGCACACGTGGAAACATTTCACTGCAAACTTTTAATGTGGAGTATGCTATTAACTGTGGGTTGCCTTTCACTTAAAGTGACAGTGACCAACACAAAAGTTGAGGGAGTGCATTCCCAACCTCAGACTATTTGGGGAGTGTGTGAAAGCAGTGCGAGCCAACATTAACAAACTCTGTGTCAAAATGAGTTTGTGTTTTTCCACCTGTGACAATTAAAACATTCGCCATGAAATGCATTCAGTAAGTAGACCCTAAATGACAGTGATTCAGCCTTGTCCTGAGTTGAATCTGGCAAAACTTGTGAAAATACTTGTGAGACTTGATTATGAATGTGGAACGCCATAAATGCTTTTGAAATATGAAAATAAAAGTTAAAAAATTCGGTTTAGATCACTATTCTGAATACAGCTCTTTTTGAATGCATAAGTTATTCAACTCTAGTTGTTCTAGAGTGTCACTTGTGAGCGGCGCACCTTTGGGGGAGTGTGTGTAAGTGGATATGGTAGGATGGCCCAGAGCCACTGGAGGATAATGAGCTGCCAGCTGGGTCCTGTCACCTGTATGCTTAGTTTATAAAGAATTTGGCCTCGGGCCTTCTCTGATGGTACTGTTTTCTCACTTGTGTCCGACTTTCAGACTATTTGTAAACTGATGCTCTCTCATTTATTCTCAGCGCATCAGCATCAGACCCCACGCCCCACATCTGATAAACCTGGCTGTGCCTTCTGACCAGGTTAGGAGACAGCTGGAGAAGCTACATAACTTCCACTGCTGAAACAGAAAAAATCCCAAAAATCAGCTAAATAAAGTCGTTTTTCTTCTTCTTCTTCTTTAGTAGTTATTTAAGATGCACTTAGGAATGGATATTTTAACTGCAATATTTAAATAAGTTGGATTTGGATACCGGAAAACAGACGACACCTACTCTTGTGCTCCACTCTAGTCTCCCTAAAATGTAGGTGTAACCATCTTCATTGTCATGCCAACTTGTAACCATGAAAAAAAAGGGGGCCTATAATCTGCCCTCTGCTCCTCCATCATCCACTCTCAGACTTTCTCATCATTTATCTTTTTCACACATGCACAAACACACACTTTCACCAACACCAGACATTTGTAAGTGAAGTGGGTCAGAGGGCGGAGGAGATGAATGGAGGTCTGAATAGCAGGATGGAGAGATGAATGGATGGCTGAATTAATGGGAGAATGGGTGGATGGATAGATGGATGAATGAGAGAAGAAGATGTAAAGAGGTCAGAGAAGCACAGACTGGCTGCGCTCCAGCACAGGCCAAGGGCAACATCTCTTCTAAACCTGTTATGAGAGTGAGTAAAACTTCAGGCTGGACCGATCATTTAACTGATGATGGTGGCGGATTTTTTAATATTTAATTCAAGACCTTTTTACACAAAATTGGAGGGAATGCAGGGATATCTAGTTTGGAATGGACCGGTAAAGAATGTAGATGTGGGAAATGTCCCAACAGGTTAAAATGTTAAAGAAAGGACAGAGTAAGGACAGGTATTTTACTCGATATGTTCATTCAGCATCTGAAATCATGGGCATTATAATAAATAAGATCAATAAGATCCCCAGCATAAAACTTAAGCGACACCAGTGATTGACTACAATGAGAGCAGACTTGGTTTTGCATGGTTTTTCTTTGTCTGGTACATCAGGCCACCAATAGCTTGCTAATTTGTAGATTTCTCAACATGTAACAATGTAATTTTTAGCGTTATTATCCTTTTAAAGTGTTTCCTGCTCCAGTTTTCTTTAAATATCCAGTGAAAAAGAAAAAGCAAAGCCGATAAATATGAGGATCACTGACTTCAGCAGCATCAACGGTGAAGAAAGAAAGAGCCTGTATGTGTAGGATGTCCTTCAAGGCGACACGGCCTGTTTCGTATGGTTGGTAGACCTTTAATAAATAAACCTTCTCTATCACAGGAACAGATTCCCTGCTGAGACGGAGAGAACGGGCTCACATCTAAGTGAGTGTGCTCTGGAGGAGTGCGTGTATTGCCGGGTGCATGTTGGTATGTTTGCTGCTCGGTATGTGTGGAAGAATGTGCGTCTCGGAGCACATTTGTCTAAGCGTGTGTGTGCTTGGTACATGTGTGCGTGTGTGGGTCCATTTGTCTTGTTACCAGTTTAAGCTGCCAAAGTAATCACCATGAGAAAGACTCTGGAAACGAACTCTCTAACCTTCACAACCCCTGCCCTGGCAACTATAGGAGCCACACAGACACAGACACACACACACACATTTTAAATAGATATTATGCTCCGAATGTAGATGTTTGTTTTTTTTAACATGACCAAAGTTGCAAATAAAAATATCTATCCTCTGTATGGCATTATAGTGACACGACAGGCTTAATATGGTCATCTCAGGCATGCTACTGTGGTTGTACTTGTACAACTTGTCTACTGGTTGTCTACTGTACCTACTGCTTAAACCTTTTGTTTGTCAGTGACAACGAATCAGAAGAATTCTGTCTTAAAAGGAGCTTTTTAGGGAAAGGAGCAAAAACATCTTGTTTCGGACAGTGGATGAAATGAGACACAGCATCAAGTTCCAGTGTAAGATAAATAGAATGTAATTATTAATAACTAATAGAGTTAAAGAATTTTTAAAACAAAACAAAGCGTGGCGCTAGAAAGAAGCATAAAAGGGTCAGTTTTAGGTAGCAAAAACAATGACAGAATTCAGCTCATTGCATGTGAAATACAACAGGATAGGATAACATACTGGGCTGGAATTTACACTGAATGGTGGGTAAATGCTAGAATAAACTGAAACCAATACGGTATCTCTGTCTCCTCAGTATTAATGCAACGCAGGTTGCTGTAGCTTCTGAACAATAGCAACAGTACGGACAGCAGGAGCAATACTTCAGCTGCTGGAGGGAGAAATGAACAAGAAATTGGCCTTGAATTGTCCATGCTTGACAAAGTACAGCAAAGCCTGAAAGTTATACCTCACTCAGGCTCAAGCGATGGCAACATCTAGAAAAAAAATATGTCCCATTATCAGAATCTACTCTTGTTTTTTCATCTCATCTCTGACCTTACATTTAGTACATTTCTGTATCAGTTAATTCATGTTTTGTGTAGTTTGTATATATATATAAGTATGCACACTAGATCTTAACTGAATATAGAACTAGGAGTAGAGCCAGTTATAGGATAAAATCCAATATTTAAATATATTAGTCAACATTTTTTTTCCTTCAGAAGCAACAGTTTTCTCTAATATTTGTTATGTCTAGCTATTTATTTACTCATTTATACTCTTCCAGACTCTGCACAGATCAATTTGTTTTTGTGCCGTTCACATGTATACTGCCAAGAGGAAAGTTACAGATTCAATTTTAACAGATACAACATCAACACTCATAACATGGCTGAAGGGTGTTTCTGCCATCTCTTCTTAGATTTTTATTTTCATTATAGATGCTGATGCCAGCCAACAATAACAGCCGGCCAATAAATCAGGCTCTAGCTATGGGGGTAGCTCTCACTGGGTTTATCCAACACTGATAAAGTAAAAATGGTGAATAAATGGTGAAATTCAAAAGGAGAGACACAAATGCATTACACTGCTAACACAACATCAGCTCTTTGCAAGCATCCACATACAGCATGCTAACGCAAAGCTAGCAAAGAACCCAGTGATGTTAAAGGCGAGCATCTGCAGACCCCAGTCCAGTGGGCGGAGCCTGAACTTCAACAGGTAACATAAGCAGTTATGGGCAGAGTTGCAGCGTTGTAGCCTTCATTTCTACCTTTTCGTGTTTCTAGAGTAGAATCACTTTGGCGATCGCTTTTGAGTCTGTTTGGTCTGGTTTTCAACTTAGCTTTGTGTGCAGGCACGTATGTGAACACAAAGAGAAAGATCTTATGTGTCCTCATGAGGATAGAGATTTGTGTTACTGTGTGGAACTGTAGCCTAAGGATTATATTGTTAACTGGTAATCTGTCTCAGGTCATTTTACAGGGTAGCCTGAAAGCAAGTAGACAAATTCTACCTGTTTTTTGGTACATCATAGTTGTAAAAAAGCATCTGTCACAGAATAAAACATATCGCAATGCACACAGACCTCTCTACGACATCTTGGCCGCTCCAGCATGTGTGCTGCTCCACTTCCATCTCACTTTCACAAAGCATCTCTGGCAACTCGGTGAAAAACCACTGGTACCGCTGGATAGAGCCCTCAAACTCTCTGAAAAAGAGTAGGAGTAGTGCACAGCTGAATGCTCGGGTTGTTGTTAATAAGAGTAGAGGCGGTGTACCATATGCCTTTATTTGTCTCAATTTAGACTGTCAAGTCCAATTCACTGCAAAATCCCTTCTGATAGACCGAAGGCAACAAAAGGAAGCCACACAGACTCACTTTAGATAATGACTGTGTGATAAAAATCCGATATTTGGGTTCATTTACTACGTTTTCTTAGAGTTCCAAGTTTAGGAAAATACTATATCATACAGTTACGTGAATGATGTGATTTTACCATGATAATGTAATGTAATAATACAGCCATAGAGAATCATTTCACATGAATTTCTTGGAATATGACTACTTTTAATGGCAACAGACACAACTAAGGCTAGATTAAAAAAACACTCTGAAAACTTAGGATAACACAATGGAGACTAATGGTTGTCCTCTGACTTCTTGATTTAATAGTTCATAAATACAACAATTACCTTGATATTTTTTTCAGGTTTCCACTCTTCTCCCCTCTGCTACCTTTAAGAGGGAATGACCTAGTGCAAACACAAAGAAATGAAAAAAATTTTTCACTTGATTTCCATCAGCAACATTATAATCAAAAGATGTTCTGGGACCTCCTCGCCTTTTTACACACATATGTGGAAAGCACAAGGCATATGTGACATATAGAAGCCTGAGTTTGAGAGAGGAATGGTAACGCATTCAAAAGAATGCAGGCAACAGTGACAACAGTCAGAACATTTATGAAGTAAGACGCAATGTGAAAAGAAGGCGTTGGACTTGAAGTTAGTTACAAAGTGGCTTGGAGGTATCCAGTAAAATATGCAGCCAGAAGCAGCTTAAATAACATGTCATATATGAAATTTGTCAACCTAACGCCTCATGTGTGTAGGATAATAGCTGAGTCATCAGCTGGTAAGAGCTGCTCTCAGCTGATTGAGGGCTGAGCTTTCTGTTCTGCTTATGCCCATACTTCCCCTGCAATACGTGAATGACAAATATAAAAAAAAAATAACACTACTCCATCCTCCTTTACAGGCCCCAAATATTTCCATCTTCTCTAACAATAAGCAACGCATATCAGCAGATCCAGTATGTTACTCACCTCCGGGATTGCAGCCGCAATCGCCGATGAACTGGTGGACCAACTGAAGGGGGCGAAGTCACAGGCGACCTCTCCAAGTTTGCTGATGTTGTAGTGTGCACGGTAGTTGACTGTGGGCCCATCATCACAGGACCAGCTGCCTGGCTGCCGCACACTTTCTCTACCTGAGGAAACACTGGATGATAACTTTGGGCTGCTTTTCAGAGGAATGCTGAATGATGTACATGGACTATTATGCACGTTTATCTAGACCATGTGTCATGTTTAGGATGTGTTCATTTGTATTGGTAATTGGATGAACTGAGAGACAATGCTAGTTTTTTCTTCCTTGCAGTAGATTAGAGATTAGACTACTTGTCAATATGCTCAGTCAAACTAGCATTACCAGTTGGAGAAGCTAAACTTTGACTTATTTGACTAAGTGCTCTGCTAAGTCTTTATTGCACCAAGGATGTTGAAGCCTGTGACCACTGACTCATGTCATTAGGAGGCATGCCACGTGCCCCGTACCTTTAATAGCTGGTCGTTTTTTGGTTATTATTGCAATAAATACACAAAAGATTAGCTTCATACCAATTATTCAGTTATAGAATGGGGATGGGCAATAATTTTTCCCAAGGGGCTACATGAGGAAATGGGACCGTTTTTGGACGTGCCGATATAAATTTAATTTCCTTATAGATTTAACGGTGTAAGCTTCCACGACTGTCCCATCTACTCATGTGGGCCCTGGGGAAAATTCATTTCCCACACTGCATTAGTGTTTAATTTTCTAACACTGGTTGTCAGGTTCTCTAACAGAACAGAAATCAGTGTTGTCTTAACCTTAGCCTTAAGTGTAGCCGATATTTCATTTAAATAACTGTCATGCGTCGCATGAATGAAGAACTTTGATCAAATATTTAATGAAGGGGCATTTTCTTATCAGCCACAATTAGCAGTGCAATTATGTCTGTGTATGTTTGTTTACCTCTCAGGAATCTACTCTACTAAGTCCACAATGTTCTCTCAGAGTTGGACGACCACTCTATTGCTTCCTCCAACAGTGTGTGCATGCATGCATGTGTTTGTGTGTCGTCTGTTTGTCTACAGATTAGCCACAGAAACTTTCTCATCACTCTGAACCAAGCTGCATTCTGGGTATCGGTTGTCCCGCCAACCACAGTCTTTGTCTGGCACTGGATCTGTATTCACACTCACATACATGCTCACGCACACACACAGACTGAAGGGAACCCCAGATTCTCTAAAGAGAATGAGGCTGTTTTTAGCCCATCTAGGTACAAGGCTTTTCTAAGAAGCTCCAACTGCCAGGCTGAAAGAAACCCATGGCCTTCCTTCCTCTGTGTCCAAAATTCAAATGACTTTATTATTGAGGCACATGTGTAACGATGCTTCGGGATGGGATGCTCATCTCTTTTTTTTTTTTTTTGAGTTTGAAGCACTTTAACATTACATATTTAATTTTTTCCCCAGTTGATTTGCATCCACATGACTACATGTCATATTCTAAACAATTCTAAGTGTAGCCAGTATAAAGCAAACCAAACATTATCCCCAACATCAAATTATCTCTTTTGCTTACTGTGGCTGTGATGCGTGGCCCATGCAGCTGCGCATGCAGTATGGCATCATTTACATGGTGTCTCACAGCTAAGAGAGCTAACTCCATGCTGTTGTGGTTGCTGCTGGTTGCTAAAGTAGCAGCTAGGCGTTGAAGCAATACCACCAGACTCCCCCAGGGGCCACCCAGCTCAGATACACCCACCTAGAACACAGAGAGGAGAAAAGACGAAGAATGAGAATCACATACAGTGCTTCCTCTGAATCAGAGAAGACTATCTATATCTATATATCTATATATATTCTCTTTAAGTCTTTACTCAAGATGAATTTGAATTTGTTGTTGGATTTCTGTCTTTGTTGTCTATGATTTCTGTCTGTCTAACGTTTCACTGTGATTTTGTGCTTTTTAGATCGAATTCAATTTAACTTACTAACTGAATTTCTCTTTAAATACATTGTTTCCTCCGCCTCTCTGTTTGCTCTGCGTGGGTTTTTTCTTTCCTTCTCATTACTGAGGAGGATAAACATGTTCAGAGTTGTTGTTGTTTTTTTTTAATCACACTTTCCTTGCGTCCAAGAAACTCTCAAGTGGGGCGAACAGTGCCATCTTCTAGTTTTGTGCTATAAAGAATTCCCCCTGGGCGCTGGTACAGCTGTCCAGAAAATTTCAAAGCAGACTAGTAAGAAGCACGGAAAAGACTGCCAATTCTCTTGGCAATGCTCTTGTTATCTGTCAGTCAAAATGTAATGTGGGAATGATCTGTTGGTGGTAAAATTCTCTGAATGATTCAGCAGAATGAGAGATGGCTGCATTAGTGCGAATTTGGTAACTGTCTCGCCCCTTGACAGCGGGATACAAATTCTCTGGTGCCTCCCACGCATCTAAAACACTGTCTTCTTCAAATCACACACTGAACCCAAAAGGGAGTCCAGTAGGTTTTGAGGTTCTGCAGAGATTACAAATGAGAAGATTTAGAAGAGCAAAAGTGTCACTGCAACAATATATGTAAAATGTTTTCTTTCTAAAGCTGATCTAAACAGGACTAAACTCACTTTTCTTGCTGGGTTTATTCACTGAGAACAAAGAGCAATCGGGTGAGTATCTAAGATTAGCATAAAAAGTGTAAGCTAGCCTGACTTTAACCAGTTAAAAAATATATGTACCAGAACCTCTGGAGCATAGACTGTACAGTGGAGAAAATCCCCTGTTGAATTTGTAAGCTCGCTCACTTTCTGCGCCAAGTACTAAGTCATGTTTTGCTTGGAGATCAAGCAATTATATCACTCCATAACGATTTAAATCGATAAATCGATATATAATTATTTTGGTTATTTTGGCTGATATTCTGTCTCCGTCCATTAAAATTCAACTACATTAAAAATTGAGGCTGTTAATGTTTTTTAAGTTCAGCAGGGGATCAAATAATTACACTGACCAGCCATAACATTATACCCACTGAAATGTGAATAACACTGATTATCGCTTCATCACAGTGCCTGTTAGTGGGTGGGATACAGTGTATTAGGGTGCAAGTCAAGGTTTTGTCATCATAGTTGATGTCTTCGAAGAAGGAAAAATAGTTAGGCGTAAAGGATTAGCTTTATATGGCCCAAACTGTGATGGCTAGATGTGCGGGTCAAATCAGCAACGCATATCAGCAGATCCAGTATGTTACTCA